GGCTGGCGGCCCCCAGGAGCCGGCCCGGGGCCGCAAGAGGCGGGCGCCCGCCTGGTCTAGTGCGGAGATCGTAGACCTCATCCAGGTTTGGAGGGAGGCCTCCAACGTCCACAACCTCCGCACTAGGCACAGGAAAGTGGCCGTCTAGGGCAGTATAGCTGCCAGCCTGACCACCAAAAGCCACATGCAAACCCAGGAGCAGGTTTGCATGAAAATCAAGGTGGTCCGGTGATACCCCCGACCCTGAGCCCTGAGCTTAGAACTTAAGAACGGCCGTACTGGGTCAGAACAAAGGTCCATCTAGCCCAGTAGCCTGTCTGCCAACAGTGGCCAACACCAGCTACCCTGGGGGGGATGGACCGAAGACAATGACCAAGCTATTTGTCTCGTGCCATCCATCTCCAGCCTTCCACAAACAGAGACTATGGACACCGTTCCTACACCCTGGCTAACAGCACTCCATGGACCCAACCTCCATGACTTTATCTAACTTCTCTTTAAACTCTGTTATAGTTCCAGCCTTCACAGCCTCCTGCGGCAAGGAGTTCCACAGGTTGACTATTTGCTTTGTGAAGAAGAACTTTCTTTTATTAGTTTGAAGGCCTGCTACCCATTCATTTCATTTGGTGTCCTCTAGTCCTTCTATTATGGGAACTAATGAAGAACTTTTCTTTATGCACCCTCTCCACACCACTCATGCTTTTATAGACCTCTATCAGTCTCCTCTTTTATAAAAAATTGATGAAGATATTGATCAGAACTAAACCCAAAAAACTGATCCCTGCAGAACCCCACTTATTATGCCCTTCCAGTATGATCATGAACCAAATATCCAACAGATATCCAACCAGTTAGGATATCTTATAGTAGTTCCATCTAGGTTGTATTTCCCTAGTTTGTTAATGAGAAGGTCATGCAAGACTGCATTCAAAGTCTCACTAATGTCTAGATATACCACATATACGGCTTCCCCTCCATCCACATGCTTGTCACCCTATCAAAGAAAGCTATAAAATTGGTTTGACATGATTTGTTCTTCACAAATCCATGCTATTATTTATCAACTTATTATCTTCTAGATGTTTGCAAATTGATTGCTTAATAATTTGCCTCATTATCTTTCCTAGTACAGAACTTAAGCTGCAGAGCCCTACAAATCTGCAGCTATCCACTTTGTATCTGTGTGTCTCCGCATCCATGGATGTGAATGCGGATATACGCAGATCATTTTTGCAGATGTAAATTTTGTATCCGTGCAGGGCCCTATTAAGATGACCAGTCTGTAATTCCCCAGGTTGTCCTTTTTTCCATTTTTATAGATGGCCACTCTGTTCGCCTTTTCCAGTCTTCTGGAATCTCTCCGGCCTTCCATGACTTTTCAAAGATCTTAGTTAAAGGCTCAGATATCTCCTCAGCCAACTCCTGGAGTATTCTAAGATGCATTTCATCAGGGTTGGGTGACTTGAAGACATCTAATTTGTCCAAGTAATTTTTAATTTATTCTTTCCCTGTTTTAGCTTCTGAACCTCCCCCATTTTCACTGCCATTCACTACACTAGGTGTCCAATCTCCACCACCCTTCTTGGTGAAAACCAAAACGAAGAAGTCACTAAGCATCTCTGACATTTTCTACATTTTCTGTTATTGCTTTTCCCTCTTTACTGAGTAATGGGCTGACCTTATGCTTGGTCGTCTTCTTGTTTCTAATGTATTTGCATCAGCCACGTGCTGCTGGGGATATTCTGAGGAGGCATAGGCACAGCATCTATTGGAAACAAGGGCCTAGTGGGGAAACAGAAGGTTTCTCTGGGGAGCATTGATTTACCTTGGCGTAGGTACAAGTATCCGACAGCTGCCAGAACGGGCACTTCTGGTCACAGAGCGGGCACATGATGGTGGTGTTGGCTTCACAGATCTCTTTGCTGGAGCAGGAAAGAAAGGAAGGAGAACAGTGTTTGCTTTGCCAGCTCACCAGATGGGTGCTTATGCCATCTATCACACTCACCAGCCAAGGGTGAGGTAGAGGAGGTATTCCCTGCTAGTGGAAGGAATAAAGCTCTAGATGGCAGCTACCTAATATCCGTGCTATGGTGGAGCCAGGTGGGGGTCTTGCAAGCTCGTAATCTGCAGCTTGGACAATGTGGCGCTCTCTGCCTGCGATGCATCCCCCTTCTCCACAGCAGTTTGGCCCGTGGTGACTTAGAAGGGCCAGACGAGGTGCTAGAATGTGGCGTCATGTGACTGCGGAACACGCACCATTACGATTGCTGTCCTGCGGTGGGAGAGCTTCTGCCCTT